GCTTCGGTAACCAGGCGATGGAAATAGCGCAGGAGCGGCGGCAGAAACCCTCGAAGGAATCAGAGGCTGTCGTGCAGCTTGCCTTCAGGAGAAAAACCTGCGCAACCAGCCACCGTTGTTTAGAAGGGCGGGCCTTCAATACCACAGCTCCTTGGTTCCGAAGGAAGCTGTGAGGTCCGTGTGGACGTGTTGTCGAGACCGGCTTTGCAGAGGAATATGAACTCTCCTAATGTCTTCCTCTGTGCTGTTAGGGCCACGATGGACCCGGGCAGCAAAAGCGCGGTCGGGTGGCCTGCAAATCCGGCCCCCTGCTAGCGAGCCGCTAACAGCTCTGACGGGGGAAGAATTTTTACAGGGGAGAGTTCCGCGGCGCGGGTGGCGGCTGGCGCTGGAGTAGGTGTAGGGTAGGTGCAGGGGAGGTGTAGGGTAGGTATAGGGTAGCCGGGCTACCCTAGAGCCATATGCCGCGCGGCGTGCCGGGTCTAGCTAGGTCCGGCCCGGGACAGCGACGGTGAGAGGTCGACGTTTCCCTTAGCGGACTTATAACTAGTAACCGGTGCACTATCGGTATATATATCTAGCACTTAGACTAGGAATCTTATCTTATGTCTTTGCCGTGGTAGGCTGGCGCTGTTAGATATACGCGTGCGCGGGAGTATAGGGTAGGCGACCTACCCTGGAGCGGTCCGCGGCGCGGGTGGCGGCCCGCGTAGGAGAGCGGCGGTGTAGGGTAGGTGCAGGGTAGGTGCAGGGTAGGTATAGGGTAGGTATAGGGTAGGTATAGGGTAGCCGGGCTACCCTAGAGCCGTTCGCCGTGCGGGTGGCGGCTGGCGCTAGAGAGCGGCGGTGCGCACGACGGCGGCGGGCGGTAGGTGTAGGGTAGGCGGGCTCCCCTGGAGCTCCCCCCTCTCGTCGCCTGTGCGCCGCCATAAGCGCCCGCCACAGCGCCCAGACGCCTGTGCGCCTCCCACCGCGGCGCCCGCCGCCAAGTCCGAGCGGCCTACCCTGCACCCGCCCGCGGCGCCCTCCCACCCTGCACCACCAACTCTCCCCTGTAAAAATTCTTCACCCCGCGGAGCTGTTAGTGGCTCGTTAGCCGGGACAGGATCTACAGGCCACCCGACCGCGCTTTTGCTGCGGGGTCCATCGTGACCCTAACAGCACAGAGGAAGACCTTAGGAGAGTTCATATTCCTCTGCGAAGCCGGTCTCGACAACATGTCCACTCGGACCTCATGGCTCTCTTCGGAACCAAGGGCTATGGGTATTGGAAGGCCCGCCCTTCTAAACAACGGTGGCCGGTTGCGGAGTTTTTCTCCTGAGGGCAAGCTGCAAAGCCAGCCTCTGATCCTCAAGAGTTTTCCTGCCGCCGCTCCCAGTCATTTCCACGGCTTGGTTACTGGAGCGTGGACTGCGGCAGCAGTTTTGGCTGCGAGCGAGAGAATTCTGACCGGACAAAACCAAGGGTTGACCAATTCTTTGTGGCTGCGATCACCCGACACTTTGCCTTGACATCCCGCTGACGGGTACGAGGCTTGACACGAGCGCCATCGAGCCGATGAAATGCTGGATAGGGACAGAAGGGGTTGTTCACGGGTAGCGAACTACGAGCGCTGGGTGCATTTAGATGGACAGTGGTTTTTTTTCGAGGGAACTCATTCGGGACACTTCTCTGTAACTAGCTCAGCACGTCCTGTGCTCCCTCGCGGAGACCTGAGCGGCCTGAGCCGCTGGACGCAAAATACACAACAACAACAACAACAACACCCTGCACCACCGACGACCGCCGGACGTGCAAGTCGAGCCCGCGTACCCTGCACGCGCCCGCAGGCGCGCAGGCGGGTTGGTGGCAGCCCTGCGTCATCCGCATCAGCCACAGCAAGGAACACGCTATAGCTACCGCCGAGGACCACGGCTATTAGATAGCCCGGACCCCCTGTCACGGAGTAGGCAGAAGCGTGGGCTTACCTGCGGTCCGTTAGAAGAAGAAGGTCAATAATCTACGAGGGGGAAAAGGAAGAGAAGTGCGGGCTCAGCCCACACGGGCGGATATAAAGGTTGTGAAAGGGATGGTTCGTATTAAGGAGGACCGCCGTGGGCGCTGCTCTTATACAAAACGCCTCGGGGTCCGGGCTATCTATTATCCAGTATCCTCGGCGGGGGCCATAGCGTGTTCCCTGCTGTGGCTGATCCCAGTGGCGCAGGGCTAGTCCCTGTGGCGCCTTTCTCGCATCACATTGCTCCATGACCACATTCGGGGACGTACGGAGTACTGTCCGACCTTTTCGTTGCTACTAATTAGAGCTGGTACCGATAGCGCCAAAGAAGAGCTGCGCGTCGTCGGCGTTATCGAGAACCTTGGGCTACCGCCCATTTTCCTTCCTCCCTAGCACATCCATCTTAGGATCATCGTGGCCGGGAATCTGGCATTCTTACGCGATATAAGTATATGATTAACGGAATCGCACGGCGTTGCTTGCGTGAACCCAGAATACGGACATATGGGGACACGCCTCCTACAGTCAATAAACGTACGCCAGCGCAATCCGCATTTTTCTGCGCTTGTCAGCATACCTGCAACGGTATAGGAATAAGATCACAACCCCAACTCCACCCAACCGATAAAGGGACACCCTGGACCGGGACTCTGCGCCTCCTGAGCGCTGACCAAAGCCAAGCAACGGGACTTTCTGCACTGGACAGAATATACGAGCAATTAGGCTACCTAAAAAACCGAGCCGCGACCACGCCTAGAGAGTGCTCAAACTGTTTAAGCTTATCCCGCACACTAGTATACCATCGATGGTTCTTCGTGTCGAACTTTATAATTATCGAGTGATCGGAATCTAGGGGGATCTTTTTCTCCATGGAGTCTGGGAGCTAGAGAAGTGCCGAGTTGGAGTTTACCGCCGTGACGAAGTCTCCGGTCCGTTTCTAGCGTTTGCTTTCGCTGTTCTATTGCAGAGCTGTCAGCAGCCTTTTCCAACATCCTCCATGCCAGACGACCATACAAACTCAAGCTGCCCAGTTTGCTCTGTCTCGTAAAATCTTACAGCGTTCCGGTGTCGGATGAGGTTCTTAAAATCAATTAACTAAAGCGCTAGCAACTTAAACTTTTCGCGTATCTCTTAAAGCAGCGCACTCCGCGGATGGTTGTCTTGTCCAGCCAGCATCTTCTGGATGTCATCTACCACTAGTCCTCTATGCGGGATGCCGAACAGAAGCATCCCATATGTAGCCTTATAGAGGGTTCCTATCGCCGGATCATCGTCTTTGTTTGCCTAGACCACTCCAACAAGGCACTATGCTGATAATTAACCTAGTATAGTAAGTCACAGCAGACGACGAAGCTATGTGCGACGAAAAAGAGTGGCCGCTGTCTAAGCTAGAGCATAAGGCCAATTTCATACTTATGCCCTCTAACAACATGTTTGCCACAGCTCTTACCTCCTCTGTGTTCCGGATCTTCTTAAGCTCCTCTATTAGCTCCCGGTCGTAGTCCATAATCGTGTCGATGCCATAGCTTGATAACTTCGAGTTATAACCATAGGTCAACGTGCGGCAGCAGGGCAGATCTTTTACGAGGAAGTCCCGCAGCCACATCCTCCGAAGGTTTCCCTTACCTCTCCATGACCCGTATGCGTGTCCGTCAAGGCCAGTAGTTCTCGCGAAGAGAGATGCGAGAAGTTCATATAAAATGCACAGATGCGAGAAGTTCATATAAAATGCACGAAGGTAAAAGGGGTAGTAAGGGGTCGGACAGGCAGGGCGAAGTTGTTTGAATCTTTCGGGGGCAATAATTGCGGCAGGGGAATGATTGTTGTATTTCCTTACTTGTCCTTCTTTCCTCTACCCAACGCCCCTATTTATATCCCTCTAGAATCCCAATTAACAAAGAAAATCCTGCTTAAAGAAGCCACTGATGTCCTTACAACTGCCGAGCTTTTTGTCGGGTTTTCCCCTCCTTTTCAGCCGTTGCCGGCCCCTCCGTCTTATCCCTCGCCACCTCTATAGGAAGCCATCGCCACTTCTGCTTCCCCTCTCTCCCCCACCCTCCTTTCTGCACCTCTGTTCAGCTCCTTCTTCCTTCTTCTATACCGGTGTTTTCAGCTTCCTAGATCCCTTATGACTAGGGATATCTCTAAGAACTGCGAAATCAGGCCACGCTTCGCGACAGTAGTTGCGATTATGCTGGCATACAGCGGATTAGTATAGCTCGAGAATAGCGGAGGCGGGTTATTCTAGGATTAAGACTTAGCGTACTCTGCTATAACCGGCGTGTCAGGCTTCAGTACATAAAGCTATATGAATCCGAAAAAGTATTGGTCAAAGCAGACGTCCGTATCTTCCATCTCGACCTGCCAATCTGCTGGTGGGTTCTCCCTTAGCTCGGACAGGAAATCAGAAATCCCGCCGTAGAACTCCACTAGCGCAACTCTCTCCTCATGGTTATGGCAAGATGGCAAGATGCCCGTAGTGATGTTTAGCTTGGATTTCTCCTCTTCCGACAAGTTGTCTTCGATGACAGTCTTTAGCGCTCTCTTCAGCTCATCGTCAGGCTGGGAGGCTAGGAGACTAGTAACACGGAAAACAGGGCCTATTTTCCTGGCCGCCATCTCAGAGTAGGCTTTTTTACGAAGTGGTTAAGCGCTAGCGATCAGGCCTCGGATTGTAGGTGGATACTAAGTAGGTCGACTTTTGAATTATAAAGTAAGTTATATAGAGCGTAATTATTACCAGTTGAACATCTTTAGGTAAAACTGAGCTGGTTGGGGATAAGAGTCAAGAGGCAGATATCAGTTTCAGCTGCACATTGCAATATGAACCCGCCCAAAATGCGGAGTGCTTACGTGAATCCGTGACTGCATTCCAGTATACAATAGAGTGGTGAAGATATGATTGTCAGCTGATTAGCTCTAAAGCTGCCACAGCTAATCCCGTTTATCACGGCGTTTATTTGCGTCGATATGTAAGACAGCTTCTCAGAATCTGAAGATAGAT